GAAATCTTGACCTACACCAAAGGTGGGCATTGCCCTATCTATAGGAGAAGTTTGGTTTCATTGGTACGCATATTTGTTTGGTTATTGAGAAAACTCCACTTGTCTTTTAAAGAAACTGAACAAGGGGCAAAAACTTTACCTTCGATTTTCTCAAAACAGCATTTTCCGGGATAGCCTCCTGTGCTTAAAAGCGACCTTAAATGAGACCTCACACAGCATGTTAACTGAAAAAGGTTCTTTTGACTTAAAACTTAATGGAAAAACCCCCCAAACAATTGAATGAAACAATCCATCATTGTTTGGCAGATTTTTATATTCAGAACAAACACTGTTCTGCTTGTAAAGTGAAACTGGACATCGCGACTATTTTAAATCAAAGCAAACATGCAGACCAAGGAACATATCGAAAGAAAAGAAACAAACAGAAATCAGAAGACCTACAAACTCAGCGCACAATAAATGAGAAATAAAAGACAAAAGAAGTCAGTGTGGCAATAGATATTGGACATATTGAAAAAACAAACAAACAAACAAACAAAGCAGAAGGCAACTAAGATATCAAACTGTTGATAGAATTACACGAATTCATCAGTTAAACCGCAGAAGGCAGTCTCCAGTTTTATATTTTACAAAAGGACAAAGTATTCAATAACATTAAGAAGTAAGCTAGAGATGTAGAAAAAATATAACAAAAATAAAGAAACACAATATCAGACGATGGGGCAGATAAATGAAAAAAAAAAAGAATTTACGAAAGAAAATCGGCACTGACAAACGATGTAGGCTACAAAGGCTAATAAGTAACTGAAAGTCGTTGATATGAAAAGGAAACACGACAGAATTGGACGACGGGAAACTGACCAGTACCACGAAGCCGTCAGCGACACACAGACGGGCCTCGGAGTGACACAACAACGACACACAGCGTGGTGGCAGGGAGCACACGACGTGAGGGCACACACACAGACACAGTAGGCGCGTGTGTGCTGGTGGGAACGCAAGCAGCACTACACACTCTCCACAGACAGTAAACACACATAGGGACACTGGCACAGGGATACACTTTGCTGTGTACCTGGCCTTTCTGGCTAGCCGAGACAAAAATTATTATATTATACTAAACAACCAGTTTTTCTAACACGTAGAACCACTACATTCCTCCCACCCACACTTTTTTTTTTTTTTTGTTAGTTTTTTTCCCTCGGGGTGGGGGGGTGGGGGGGTAAAGAGGTTGTACCGTGGCGTACTGCAGCTTCCAATACCTCATTTAAAAACGTCCAATGTGCTATAATTCTTAACAGATACTCCCGTCTCTTTTTGTTTACCGCAAAACCCTAATCTACTCAAACTCAAACATAACTGTCAACTGACATTTTTTCCCAAGAAAACCTCACCACCGACACACTTCAGGATAGGTGTTGTACCTCTTTTGAAAGGTAAAGATCTCAAAGGTACGATCGTATCCGATAGTAGAAGAAAAAAGTAAACGCCTCTCCGTAGAGTTCAGGGATCAATATTGCTTTAATAGCAAAGCAATGTTTCCACTGAATAGCCATAAGCTTATCACTGAAGAATGTCTTCTACTTTTGTACTTATTCGAGGGATCAGATAAATCCAGAATACTTTTAAATAAGAAATCTCACGTAAAAAGTAGATTCAAGAGATTAAAAAGATCTATACGTCTTAACAGCCGACACTATTTGGTCGCAGTAACAGCAGAGTGAGTATAATATCCGGAACTTTTCAGTGAAAAACGCTTTGGTGAAGACACAAAGGTACTTCTTATAATTTCCAAAAACCTAATAATAGCTGACAAAGTGTTGTAAAAAGCACTATATTGAGAGCTACTAACAGACAAAAATGTACAGGAGGACTAATAAAACTTGTTGGGTACAATATAGCAGGGAGGATGAAGCCAGTGTCGTTACCTTCGTATTTAACTACCCATTTACTGGAACCTGAGGAAGGATAAGGCGAGGGCGGACCCCCGGCGGGTTATTCTTCATGTCTGTCTCGTTACTAATCTACGATGTACATAACACACACACACACACACACACACACACACACACACACACACACACACACACGAAAAATAAAAGAACCATACAGATACACACCAATGACAACTTTGTGCTTCCTCGTTATTCTTTACTTTCTTATTGCCCTTCGTCTTATCACACAGATTTATAACAGAAAAAAACAAACAAAAACTTTCCGTCTCGTCCCAAACACAAACACAAACACAGGCATTGAGTGGCCATCTCAACGACATCTGGTCAGTGCCAACAACAAACACACAATACACAAATGATCATAAAACTGCAGCACACCAAAAAGGTGCGTATTACAAACAATACAAGTAATTACATGTTCAAAAACATAATAAAATTATAATATTACGAATAAGTCCCATGCAAAAAATGAGAGCACTCGTGAGTAACGTATTTTTAATCAAAACTGAAA